CAGATCTGGGTCCTCCAGGGCCGATTCATGCACCCCCTGCGCCGTCTAGCACACTCCCCGTCTCGTCCAATATGCGCAAGAATGTGTTAGATATGGCCAAGACACGCATGAAGCAGCTTCAGTGGGATAAACTATCTGCTGAACATGCCTCCAGTACAGTATGGGGCAAGGCATCCAAGACGGAAATGCTGCTGCGCGATGCCATATTGCAATATGGCCTCTTTGGGGAAATGGAAGAAGAATTTAAAGCCAAGGAATCCTCAAAGAAGCTGCATACAGTCAAGAAGGACAATAAGGAGCTGCAGACCCACCTCAATTACGCTACCCGGCAGGGTATAGAGATGGTTCTGAAGCGTCTTAAGAGTCGCTTGACCGACAGCAAACAGTGCACCCCTGAGGAATTGGCCCACTTGATTGTCCAGTGTGATCCTCAGGTATTTGATCAGAGTATTTTGACCGAGTTGCTTCGTTACTACCCTGAATCGGAGACCAAGGGCCGATTGGGAGAGTACAAGAACGCTTCAGATGAACAGCTACGCCTTTTGCATCCAGCTGATCGCCTTGTCGTGCTGCTGATGACTGTACCTCATCTGAAAGACAAGGTGAAGGGTATGCTATACAAGAGCAGATACCAGGATACGGTGGATCTCATTCAAAGTGGTCTTAACAAGATTCGAGATGGTGCTGAAGCCATCATGGATGCTCCCAATTTCGCCCAGCTGTTAAGTGTTGTGCTTCTCCTTGGAAATTACTTGAATGCTACTGGCATTAAGGGTGGCGCATATGGTTTCAAAATCAGCAGCATCAACAAACTAGTTGATACCAAGGCGGCGGATGGAACTACTCTATTACACTTTGTGGAACGCACGGTGTCCAGTCGTTTCCCAGAATTGGAGGGCTTCATCGATGAGATTTCGTCGGCCACTGAAGCTTGCCGTGTTCAATTGCTAGATTTGAAGCATGACCTGGCTGAACTCAAATCTGCCAATGTGCAACACAAAAAAGATCTCGATCGCTTGCTCGCCGAAAATGAGGAAAACATGATGGACCCTTATGCAAAGCTCATGCTTCCCTTCTTGAATACGGCCACATCAGAGCTTCAGCGGCTTACAGATCAAACGCAGCACACTGAACGGGTGTTTAATGATGCTTTGCGCTACTATGGTGAAGGTCCTGATCCGCTCCGAAGAAGCTTCACAGGGGGCAAGTCTATGCCAACCGAGGAATTCTTTGGTATCTTTAAAGAGTTCCTAACGGCGTACCGGAAAGCAAAGACGGACAATGCATCCTTGGCACAGCAACGCGCACTCGAAGCTGCTCGGCGTGCTGCTGCTGAGGAACGCGAGAAAGAAATCAAGGAGGCACGCGCTCGTCGAGAAGCTGGTATTGACGATAGTGCTGTGCTTGAGTCGCTACTGACCTCGCTTCGCTCCAGTGGTGGGACGCCACGTCAAAAACGCAAGCAGCGGAGGCGCACGCGGCCATCCACAACTGATTTACGTGCTGTTTCTGAAGCCGAAACAGAAGAGCCAATGGACCACCCTTCTACCAAAGCTGCAGAAATGCTTGCACAGCTCCAAGGTGGCGAAAAACGTGAGCATCCGAGTGGACTCACAGCCGCTGCCTTGGCCACTGTTGCGGCGCGTGAAGACCGAAAACGTGAGCGACGCGAACGCAACAGCCTTCCTGTACTTCAAGATATCCCGCGCCCACCTTCGTCCCGTGCCAGCAGCCGCACTGATACCCTAGAGCAAAGTACCAAGAGCTCGGATATGGACAGCTCTATGGAGCATACACCCACTTCGCCCGATATCCACTCGCGCTATATAACCAAGACACCCCCCTTGCAAACTCAACAAAATGACACTCTTTGCATGAATATTTCGCCGACGTCCGGCTCGCGGCGCTCTCCAGACTCGCTCTACTTGACACCAGACGGGCATAGACGCGGCTCCCAAGCAACCTCCTCCAATGCAGACTCGCCGCTGCAGGCTACAACGGCTGATGAGTTTGACGGAGACGATCTTGCTATCTAGACTCTTGTAAATTGGTATGGCTCAGATAAGCATTTGTTCTACATGATCAGAAAATCACATCATTGTCCTTTTCTGCACTGAGCATATCGCCTGTCTCAGCAGCTGGCTCCGTCGAAGACGTAGAGGGCTTTTCAGCCCCTTCATCCTTTTTTGATGTCGTTTCGGCGGCACTGCGCTTCTTCTTTCCCTGCACTTTCTTAAGACGGAAGAATTCCTCGCTTTTGGTGAGTATTGTAGTACATACCGATCCATCTCATCAAGCTCGGAAATTATATACTGCGAATTAGAGGGTGTATACATACCGCAATCGTGTTTTCAAGGCGAGGAATGATAACATGTTCAATAGCATTGACCCGGCGGTTTGTTAGACGAATGACTTCGTCCAAGATTACAAAGGCCGTCTGTAGACTCGCCAGATCCACCAGGACACGGAGGGCCTTGGTGTATGTTTCGCGTGCTTTTTGCACCTGTTGACCACCTCGTGATAGACCCGTAAGACTAAATTCGGTGGGAGCTGCATTAGAATCTTCATCCTGTCCATCGGCCTTTGAGTCTGTAGCAGATGTTTGTACGGCAAACGCGGGGAGCAGCACTCCACTAATGTTTTCCTGACGCGAGCGAACCTTAAAGGTGGCCCGCTTAACGTTCTCACGAACTGCATAGCCAATATCTCCCGTAGCGTATCCAACCTCGACCATGCTGAAGGCGGCCACTTGAAGCACAGTGCCCATCTGCTTCTTTGCATCTTGGATCTTGGACGTGATGGTGCGGAAACGTTTTGTTAGGGCATCAGCCTTTCGCTTCAGAAGAGAATGGCCATTCTGTGCTCCCTTAAGCCTCTGCTTGGTGTTTCCAAGCGTCATACGCGTCGGAAAAACGGCCTCGCGCTGTCCCGAGGATGACATCGTTGAATTGGTCCGACCACAGGGCGTAGATCGTGTACCAGGCCGGCTCGAGACCCGAATGTATCTTTCGGCCGAAATACCTAGGCTCCTCAAGCTCATGGCTATGAGGGCAACATGATGGGGTGGGTCGTTTGACTTTGGGATTTGAGGTACTATGGGCAACGGCGCACGGTATGAAATACTATCTCATGCTATCTAACCTATAAAAGTGCACAACAAAAACGTGAGAGGAATGCCAAGGCTGGTGGACCTAAAGAAGCCAAATCACAGCTGAAAGCAAATGAAGCAGCCAAGAATGTGATCTGCACTACATGTCGTCAGACCTTCCTTCAAACCGTCAGAGAGCCTGCGTATGTTGTACAAATCAACTAACAGTGCAGCCTGGTTCAACATGCTGAAAATAAGCATGGCAAAGTTCGTCGTGCGACAGACTCACACAGACTCTGAAAGACTGCTTTCCGACTTGGTCCGCAGCTTGAAGTATGCGTCCGTTGGTAGTTGATTAGAATACATGGTAGCTTTTGAGATACGGTATTAGGTGACTATGATGTGTGAATAAGAAATAGATGAATATTAGCCGGGACCAATCCTTGGCATATCATGGTGCTCACTAAGAGAGTCCAAATACTTGTTGAAAGTATCCACCTTTTCTTTATGTGACTTTCGAGCTTCGCGTCGAGCCTGTTCATGCAACTAGAAAGTGAGCACAGGTACATACATACCCTTTTGCGCTGAATTTCTTCAAACTTTTGCTCCGCTTTCGTTGTTCCATGCACGAAGGAGCTTTTGGAAGTCTCTGAATCTCCGTCTTTGGCAATCGGATGGCGTTTACCGCCTTCCGCCGCTGATGACCGCACAGAGTTGGATGTACTAGATTTTCGTTTCCTGCAGATAGGTCAGCGCAATTCTTGACGCACTTGTTTTTGTCGCCCTTTAGCTTTAATGCCCCCCCAGGCTTGAAGCTATATGGGGACGACATTTGCTTAAGTCACGTCGGGATCGTGACAAGACACCGTAGGGCGAGATTCGAAGTGTTGGGTAATTATGCGTGGACATAAAAGGCAGCCGTCGCTTACCTAGTAAACACCACCGACGCTTGGATGTACGGAGTGTGGTTACGCCGGCAATTCAGTAGTAGCTCGCGCGTACTTTCTATCTCCCGTCAAAACAACCGTCGCTCTAATCAGTCTGGTCCCAATCCTCTAGCTTTCCTCGTTTTGGCTGCTCTATCTTTTGGTGCGCTGAACTACGTTGTGAAAGTACACGAATTTGATCCCGAAAAAGAGACTCGTGAAAAACGCATTCCTTATCCTAACCCTCTAGTGCCTCCTTCTCTTAAAAAAGAATAAGTTTAATGAGTTCTTTTGAGTATAACCCGAAGAAAGTGGTAGTAGTCTTTGTACTCGGTGGTCCGGGTGCTGGAAAAGGCACGCACTGCGCCAATCTCGTGAAGGATTATGGTTTCGTCCACCTCAGTGCAGGTGATCTTCTCCGTGCTGAACAAGCGCGCCCCGGATCTCAGTATGGGCAGATGATTGCTGATTATATTAAGGAAGGGAAAATTGTCCCTATGGAAGTAACCATCACCCTTTTGAGAAATGCCATTCAACAGGCCTTGACAGAAAATGAATCATCGGACCGTGAAGGCTGGGGAGATGGAAAAGGCCGCTTCCTGATCGATGGTTTCCCTCGTAAACTTGACCAGTCCCACAAGTTTGAGGAAAGTGTCTGTCCCGCACAAATGGTGCTTTTCCTACAATGCTCCGAGGATATCATGCTTGAACGTTTGTTGCGCAGAGGAGAAACTAGCGGACGATCTGATGATAACATTGAGTCGATCAAAAAGCGTTTCCGTATGTACCCAAGTATGGTCTAACGTTCAGGTACCTTCGTGGAAACGAGTATGCCCGTTGTCGATTATCAGCGCTCTCAAAACAAGGTCGTTGATGTCGACGCCAAGAAGCCTGTGGACGAAGTGTATCAGGATATTTGCAATGCCATCGACACAAAGTTTAAGCACACTTGTAACTCGTAAATAAAATTACATTTAAAAAATGTGAGGTCCGTCCCGGGTTCGAACCGGGGTCAATGGAAGTTATCTTCAAAATCCACTATACTAACCACTATACGAACGGACCAACTATGCGGTTCAAGGAAAACAAGGGGTTTTAAAACTGGGATCCTGATGATTTAGATGCGAGTGCACAAGTCTTTGCCTCGCCGGACTTGCGCTGCACACAAGCCCACTTGCAGAGGAATAGAGACAATGGAGGCCAAAATAATGCCAAGAGAGTCGCCCAGCTTTGGTGAGAAATGACAACATACGCTAACGGAACCCATTTGGAACTCATATTCCTGGTTTCGAAGTCGCATATCTTCTCCGCCTGATTGCCCTTTGAATTCACCGATGCGACTCATCACAGAAACACTGCTTGTTAGAGCGAATGAAATACATACTAAGCGGATCCACCCGCAAGTCCCTCAACAGCGACCAGCACAATGACAAGAGACCGAGCAACGGAATCTTTGAACCATGAAAAGATACTCTCTGAAGTAAGGAGCAATAATAAACCGAGCTGTGCCACAGCCGGTGTCCATAGCCATTTGGTTGGTATGGCCGGTAGAGGGAAAATGGATGTGTAGGATCTTGATATAAAGACAAACGTTTGATAAGTTAGTTGATATAGCGGATAATAATCCCGCAAGCTTTTGAGTACTAGAGAGAGCAATGGATGCTCTTTACTGTCCGGTAGGCTGTACAAAAGCGTAGGAGAAACACCTTGGTTAATGGTGTATTCGGCAAAATATACGCTAGTCAATGGTATCATATAAGGAAGGAGCATGGGCTTTAGCAAACGCATCTTGTGTGAGAATGACAGGGAAACGTCAAAATTTCGTGCCTCCTCTTGATTGTTGTCATTCTGAGTTTCCATAAGAGCTTGCTGCGTGTCATCTGCATTTCTATGCCGCGAGTGATGATGGGGATGGGGTAATATAATCATGAAGGCAAGCACTGTCCCAAAGGACAAAAAGGCCAAGAGGCTCAGACCAGTTTTTACCCCCAGCGGACGAACAATCCACCAGGCTGTTGCTCCGACCAAGCCGGCTGCACCCGTTCCTGACGAGAACCATCCAACACTGTATGTAATGAGCTCGAAGGGAAAACGCGTGGCATATTGCAAGTAAGTAACCTCTCCAAGGCCGCTGGCAAAGCTAGCTGTGGCGATACCCATGAGACGAAATGCCAGCGTATCCATGAATGCAATAGTCTACTGTCAATCGGCTTGTACGTACCAACATTCCGAGGAATGCCATGCATGTGCACATCCATACGCGAGTATTGTACTGGATTTCTCCCTTAAGCCAATACGGAAAGACCGCTTTAGCAATTAATGCAGGCGTTATATTTGCAAAGGCCAAGAGACCTGTGGGAACTTGGGAGGGTAGAAGCTCCAAGGCAGCTGTCAAGATGACGACATACATCATATTGTTGAGCAAACCTAGTATGAAAAAGGCGATAGCATGTCGAGGGTGTTTTCGAATGTTTCTTTCAGAATAAAGGGTGCGAGTCCCTTCATCCATGGTCTGTAACGGAATGGAGTCTGCCTGGTCGACGACCATGCACGAGGGACGCCGTTGGATCGGCACGGCCGATGTCTCAGATCGGGGCTATCGAATTCTATGCGTGGCCTCAACCCGCCTTGCGTAGACGGTCCAAACGTTCCTGCAATGCCATATCCTCATTGCCCATAAAGTCGGTAGCTGCTTCACTAATAGCCACTTTTGATGTGTTGTCGACAGCATTAGCAGAAATCTGGTTTTCCGGTACATTACGGAGCTTGGGTCAGCTGTACAGTCGCATACCTGTTGGCTGATATCGACGCCAATTTCGTCGAGAACCTGTCGCAGTATAGCTTCGCTTTCTTCATTCTCGCCGATATTATCACCCAAAGCGTCATCTTCCGTCCCAATGGCATCTTCGATAGTATCGTTCATAATATCATTCTTCATGTCCATCGCGCTCGATTCACGTTCAAATTCCTGAAGAATGCGCTGAACAGCCATGATGTTCATGGAACGATTCATGGAGGCGAGTGACTGTTATAAGCAAGTGACCACATACCCGAGATGCGCCGCGCATGGCCTCTGCCATCTGTTGCGAGCTGCGTAATGTTTGCATACGAAGACCCACGGCCTGTAGCTGCGTACTCATTTGATAAAACTTGTGTATATTCTTTCTTGCCCTTACAAGATCCTTTGCCATAACTTTACAAGCAGGCTGGGGTTAGTTTGTTTACACCTACCATTTGCCCTTGGCGTGCATGGCGTTTGATGTCATTCACAAGTTTCTTTTCTTGGGCCTCGAGCTTTGTACGTTCCCTATCGAGTTCTCTTTGTGCGCGTTGAAGTGATCGAAGATGCTGCCGAAGTCTCTCAGCAGGCGTTGTTGACCGACCAAAGAGGGTCTCCCATAGGGACATGGCGCTGTGGTTCGGTCCGACCGCAGGGTCCGCCAATGTGGAGTTCTAGAACTTTATTCGCGGCAGCCTCCATTTGCCTCCTACCATGACCTCCCTGATCCCACCCAAGCGACGAGGAAGGCCAGGTGTACCGAAGCTTTCCTTGTCGATATGTACGTATCTTAAACTAAACATCCAGCCAATCCTCCAGAAAATGGCGGGTTTCAACCGCAGAGTGCAGGTGAAGTCACAATTATGCCACCATCCCATCAGAACCACCAGGCCCGAGATGTTGACAGTTATATGGATGAAATCAAGCGCGTTTTGGACCAGATGAACGTTAATTATGATAGAAGAACGTCTTTTTCATCAGACAAAGACTCGAAAAGGACCTCGAGCTCATCATTTGACCATGTTAGTCTCGACTCCCATGACAATCTCCGTTCGACTGCCATGCAGCGTGCCATGTCCCAGGACTCGGACGTGTCTAGCAATTCAGGGCATATGGCAGCCGCAGATATATGCAAAAATATCGAGGTGCTCTGCTCTCTAGGAGAGGGTGCGAGTGGCGAGGTGGCCAAGGCACGCATCAAGACTACTGGCCAAATCATTGCGCGCAAGGTATGTGAAGTATGCTGACAGCTAGACTATCGCCACATCGCCTGATCCAACCATCCATCGCCAGCTGCTCCGTGAACTCAATTTTAATCATAACTGTCACAGCCCTTATATTGTGCAATACTATGGGGCCTTTTTCGAGCCTGAAAGTGCCAGTATTACCATTTGTATGGAATTTTGTGAGGCGGGGAGTATGGACTCCATCTACCGCCGGGTCAAAGCGCGTGGTGGACGCGTAGGTGAGAAGGTTCTCGCGAAGCTAGCAGAGTCTATCTTGAAAGGACTCGAGTACCTGTATCAGCGGCGTATTGTTCACCGTGATGTCAAGCCTAGCAACATTCTTGTGACGCGAGACGGACAAATGAAACTGTGTGACTTTGGCGTGTCGGGCGAGCTCATCAACAGTGTGGCAGGTACATTCACCGGCACTTGTACTTATATGGCCGTATGTATACTCATTTGACCACAGCCTGAGCGAATCATGGGCCAACCGTATACCATCACTTCCGACGTATGGTCCCTCGGCGTGACAATATTGGAGCTCGCGCTCAATCGATATCCATTCACTGCTGAAGGAGAGTCTCCTATGGGCCCGATTGAACTTCTCACCTATCTTCTCAACTCGCCTTTGCCTTCATTGGAAGACGATGAGGCACAAGGCATAAAATGGAGTCGCTCGCTGCGTGATTTGGTCTCTCGATGTTTGGTGCGAGATGGTGCAGTGCGCGTTGGTCCACGATCTCTGCTTCACCATCCACTGATTCAACGTGCGGAGCAGATTCCCAACACAGACATGGCGCGCTTTGTCGCGCATGTCTGGAATTGGCCGTACCCTTAATGCATAGAGGATTGGCGCGTGTCTTTTTGACGCACGTGCCCGGTAGGACCTCGCTAAGGAGTTGATCCACTCGGACGCCACTTGGCATGGGCATGGCACAATCTCAGGGTGCAGAACGCTTGCGTCGACCTTATAATAATCAAGAGGCAGTAGCAGCGCTGCTTCTGCATCACCATGCCCTTGCACTAGAAAAAACTAAAAGCAAAAACGACAGTGCTGCACCAGCCGTATGCCCCATTCCGCATCATGGCCGGCGCGGCGCCATGGCGCCTAATTCTGGGCTCAATCCGCTAAACAATATGCCCGAACTCACGCAGGATCGAGCGCCAAATCAGAGGATGGATCTATCGCGTGAGCGAGTCGTTTCTTCGATCCCACGGGCCCCAACGTCTGCCGCACCGGGCGACTCTCCGTATGGGGCTGCTTCCCCCCATGTTTCCAACGATCAGGGTGCAGGCGCCAAGCCAAGCTCCTGCCCTGTGGATCACGGTGACCGCTCCGATGGCTCAGGGTATTGGGAGTACCCTTCGCCGCAGCAGTTCTACAATGCACTGGTGCGCAAGGGTTGGGAAACACCCGAGGAGAGTGTGGATATGATGGTGCTAATCCACAATTTCCTCAACGAACGAGCTTGGCAAGAAATTGTGGAATGGGAAAAGCTAGCGGGTAGTGATGTGTCCCAATTGCAGCTGGCACGTTTCCAGGGCAAGCCGGGTACATTGACACCCAAGGCACGTTTCTATGGATGGATGGCATGGTTAATGCCAGACAGGTTCAGCTCTGAGCCTCCTTTCGACCGTCATGACTGGATTGTGCGACGCGGTCCTACCGATAGTCATCCAGAAGGCGAGGAGGTGCGCTACATCATCGACTACTACTCGCGGGAGGACGAGTCGGATGAAAATGAGGCCAGCTTCAATCTCGATGTGCGGCCGGCCATCAGCAATCTAGATTCCGCGCGACTTCGATGGAAGAAACTAATGCAAGAATACGAGTCGGGTGAGTTGCTGGCGCCGTTCCGTGAGCCATCCAGCGCACCGGCGTCCTCTGCCAGCCATAGGTAGCCGTAGCATCGGCCACGCAGGCCACGTGCCTTCCACGTGCTGATTCGAACGATCATCAAGTTTCGCTAGCGCATCAATCAGCCGGATCGCCGAGGCAATGTCATGCACTGGACACGCGGCAGCATGAATGGAAACGCTGCCGTTGCAAGTTCAGATGC